ATGGTTGTGTGAGGGCTGGTGAGAATGTAGCCAGGCCCAGTGGTGAGGTCGCACGCGTCTTTGGATTAGCCGGCGTGTTGACAGGCCCCATACGAGGCCGGGTGCGTCCCGTCGTATGAGGGGTGATATTGTGTTTGTGTTTGTTGGGTTGTGTTTGATAAATATTTGAATGTATGTAATTGTGTGGTGTTAATGGTTTATTTGATATTAGGAGCCAGGATAGATACGAAAGAGCTACGTGTGGCTTGATCCCTTAGTAGGGTACGTAGGCAGCCTGAAGTTACTAGGTGCAGCCACATATTAGACCCCACTTAGGTGGTCTTATTGGGATTGGTTTGGACCTCGTTGTTGGTCCCAAAACTTGGTTGAATTGAGGCTTGTCCTGGGGACTAAGTGAGTGAAGGTGCGCGTGAGTAGATTTTGAAGTTGTTATATGCATGTTTGATGCATTAAGTTATTTTAAGAACTTTGTGGGCAGTCTTGCTAGAATCATTTGAAGGCCGGAGGCCATTTATGTAAATTGCATGAGCTTATATTGTGCATGCTGCCAGTTGGGTTATAAAATGCGTTCCTTGCAGGTGGAAATTTTGGGGAATGTTCAATTTATAGGGGAGACTCTGCCGAAATTTCGGCAGAAAGTCTCGCGCCCTTAATCCTCTATGGCAAATGAGGACGTAGATTTAAGGAGTGAACCCGGCATGGGGGTGATGCCGGGGTCTCCGCAGGGTTCGCCCCGGGTTCTGGGAAATTCGGGACGGGTCCTGTCAATTTTTGTATTTTAGAGTTTCATGAATGAATTTCACGTTTTAGGGTTTTGTATGAATTTTTGCATTTTGGAGTTTCAAATATTAATTTTCACTTTTCGGGTTTTAATGAAACCTAAAAATGTGATAATTCATTAGAGAAACTCAAAAAAGCGAAAATTCATTAATGAAACCCATTAACAAATGCCTAAAATTTGAAAATTCTAAAACCCCAAAATTAAAAAATTCACTAGTGAAGCATCAAAATATGATAATTCATTAGTGAAAATCCTAAAGTACAAAATTCATTCGAAAACTGAAATTACCTATAGGATGACTACAAATTCATAGAGGGGGTGAATAGGCTAATTTTAAAATTATAATCACTAAATAAAAATAAACTTCGGTAGCAGGATTGATATGACTTATCAATCCTGAACGTGCTAAGCATAAAATAAAGGAACGCGCAAAGAATTATTTTATGTAGTAAAACCCCATCTATGGGGAAAATCCACAGGACTCCTCAGTCCAACACAAATCCACTATAGAACGATGACTACAAGAAGTACTCATATACTTATTCTAGACACATTCTATATAATGTTTACCGACTTTTTCGTAACTCAATTTCTGTCATGGGATGATCTTCGACACTCCTTATATTGAACGCAATACTAGTCACAATTGCTTCAAACTCGCCAGAGAAAACACCGCAACCAAGATCTTGGTGCCCTCAACCGTATGAGTCACCAAACATGCAAATCAATGTAATATGAATGATAAAGGTATTTGATAAATCACAAAGTAAACATGGAACACTTAATGATTTATCTTAAATAAAAACTCAGCTTTTCAAAGTTTATGGATTGAAAATATGATCATGAAAACTCTCCAAACAAAGAAGACAAAGGTTTTATTTTATAAACTTTTTCTTTTCAAGAAACAAAACACGTTGAAAACCAAATTACTTGATTTGCACAATCTAAATAAAATCAAAAATATATTTTCCTATTCTAATGATGATCACACGTGAAGCCCAAAACAATAGGAAAGTAAAAACCCAAATAAAGGAAATTTATGACAATCCTACCATTAAAGGAGTCCTAATATTATTAGGTCAACTACCAAGAATATCTCAACACATTTAATAATGTGATATGATTAAAACTTGATTTGCAAGTAAATTACTTAAAAAGATAAGTAACAAATCATGGATAAGAGAAAGAAAGAATAAGTAAAAAGATATTGCAAAATATGCCTAAATGAGATGCACTCATAAATGGATTCTAAATGATTAAACTCAAGGAAGATCAAAGAAATAAAATCATATTAGATTCCAAAAAATGTTACTATTATAAGTGCATGGAAAATGACATGTCTTACCCTTCAGATAAAATTGCTCATACGTGTTAAGTCACAATTTTGGAATTCGGGGATTGCTGAGCTGTTTTAATGCGGCAATTTATGGAAATCAGAGACAATAATTTTGCTTCAACCCTACAACTTAATGACACTTCCAAACCAATACTAAGTTCTAAGAAATGCCAACACAATTTTATACTAACAAAAACAAATAATGAATTTTTCCATTTTGGGGTTGCACTAATTAATTTTCGCAAATTGGTTTTTTGTCAATGAATTGTCTCATTTTAGTGTTTTGTTAATGAAATTCTCACTTTTTTGGGTTTTGTGAATACATTTTCCCATTTTTGGGTTTTGCTAATAAATTGTTGTATTTTGGGGTTTCCTTAAAACCTGAAAGGCAAAAATTCAATTTTGAAATTCCAAAATGTGAAAATTCATATGAAACCCTAAAACGTGAAAATTCGTTCATGAGATGAAACCTTATATTGCAAAAATTCATTTGGGAAACCCCAAAATGTGAAATTTCATTATTGAAGCCCCAAAATAATTCATTAACAAAAGACTAAAATGCGAAAATTCATTCGTGAAACCCCAAAGTGCAATTATTGATTTGTGAAAATTCATTTGTGAAACCCAAAAGTGCGAAAATTCATTAATGAAACGCCAAATGCCAAAATTCATTAGCGAAAGCATAAAACAATTATCAAGAATCAAAAATCAACAAAAACAAAGATAATTAGCTAAGAAATATACAAAGAAACTAAAGGTGTGCATTAAATTGAGATTTTAAAAGACTATTTATGAATAAAAAAATCTAGTGGATTTAAGCAGAATATAATGACTTATGGGATTTTATTTATGTATTTCTTTAATCAAGATTTTTTACTTATGAATTTTAAAGAATTTTTATGACAGGATTTATAAGATATGAAAGGACCACATGGATTTCTTCCGAGGTCAATAACATAAGATTATTTTTTTAATGAAATGCTAATATTATTTCATTCTTTGTATGTCTTTATCAATTAAAAAATATATATTTAAAAATAAGAAATAATATTAAAAATTCTTAAAAGATCAGGAACAAAAAAACAAAAACATAAAACTCTTTCTATGCCCCTCTATGTCTTCTATCTTGGCAGCCCACCACCCCACTACTCTTTTCTTCCCTCAACCCGACACCCACAAAACCAATCTTCACTCTTGGCAGCCACCCTTGCACTTTTGTATGGATTTTGCAAGTAAACTCCATGCCCACCTCGTAGTTTCAGGTTTCCACAAGGACCCACAAGCTTCCACCAAACTCCTCGAATCTTATGCCCAAACCCAAACGGGTCCCTCCAATCCTCAACTTAAGCTTTTGAAACCTTCACAAAACTAGATGATTCCATGTGGTGTGCTTATGAAGTGCCCTGTGTGGAATCACTACTTTCAAGAAGCCATTTCACTCTATCACAAAATGTTACACCATGTAACCAGCATGAACAAGTTTATATTCCCTTCCATTTTGAGAGCATCGGGATATGGTGATCTGAGTGTTGGAAGGAAGATCATGGGAGGATAATAAAATGTGGGTTTGATTCTGATGAGGTGATTGAGACCTCATTATATACAGTACATCACATCAATCAATGCCAACAATTTCAATGCTTTTACTTCTCACATCTGTCAAAATCCTTTGTTTGCATCAAATCTATTTTAACAGTATAAACTAGAGTCAGCCGCGCCCTTTGGGACATTGTGTCGAACAGATGTGTGCTGCTCCACATATGTTAGAAGCTTGTTTGTTTGAATTCTGTGAGAAACAACGACAAATTTATACTGTTTAAATTGGGGGTGTTGAAGGTGATGTAGAATTCACAAGATTATGCAACACAGAGGGAGATGGGGATGGAAGGAAGGTTGTGGCTGCCCCAATAGCAAGTGGCTATCTGTATTGGTGGGTAAGAATGAGATTTGAGATAGGAAGTCTTTTGAAAGTCTACTAAGTTCTATACGAATTCTAAAGTTCCATCAAGTTCTATGAACGCTGGCACTTAAACAAAATCTTTTTAAACGCTCTAAAATCCTAATTGAGAAGAATACCATAAAACTTATTTAAATTATTTAAATCCTAAAATCCCAATTAAATACACCCTCAATTGTGAATTGAATCGCATCCATATTTCAACGTAAAGTGTAGAATGAATTACCCAAGAAAAACTGACACACGTCACAAAAACTGATGGCACATGTAGCTGCCGCGTATCATTTTCTTTGATTTATTATTATTTTTCTATGATTTAGCTTTTAAATTTCATAATAAATATAATAAAAATATAAAAAATCCACCGAAAATCCTATAAACTCCTTGTGACGTAATTGAATTAGTTGTCTTGGATAACGTTAGTTTTGTAAAAAGAATAAAGAATTCACCGGATAATAGTTATATTTAAAAGATTAACGAGTTTTTACAGAATACATAATTATTTTGTGTGAAAGGTAATAGAATTATATCTTTTTTGGGGGTAAACATAGAGCAATACTATTTGAACGGTAAAATCTCTGAATAAAACTAAAGTAACAAAGAAGCTAAAAATATTAGATATTACAAAAGAAAAGAATATAAAATATTAATTTTTGACATATCGGAGGGGTAGGGAATTATATGTCAAATTGCTGCAGGGGAGATGAAATTCAAATTTAGAATTTTGTATTTGACAACTTCGTTTCGTTGGGATGCTCTAAGCGTAAAACTCACGCTACAGTGGACACCCAAGAAATTAAAGAATTCTTTTCAGGAAAGAACAAACAGAAAATTTATCACGCTACAATCACATTTTCGTTTTCATTTTTATTTTTGTATTTGTTTTTATTAGCGAGAAAGAAAAGTAGAATTTTGGAGTACACAAGAAACAAAATCGTATGATATCTGATCTGAGGCTGCGATGGTGATGGGCAGCTTCTTCTTTCCTGATATTGCTGCTGACGATCCCCGGCCATCTGAAGAAGAGCAATGAGGTCCGGTCGATTATGCACATTCGGCGTAGCGTAGGGCCTTCACCTCGGCATTGAAAATTCGTCTCTGCCTGCCTACTCGGTAATTATCTGTCTTCTTCGCGTTGGATATGTTTCTAGACCTAAATCCTTTTCCATTTATGCATGTAATTTTGATTCTTCAATTCCATCAAATTCGAATTTGTTTTCCTCATCCTGTCTGTGCAACTTAACTGCATTTCACCGGTTCCAAGGTTTGATAATTTACTCAACTAAACCGTAGAAGAATAATAGAGTAATAGAAAGAATAGCTATATACGAATACTGTTACTAAACGATGAAATACTTATGTATTGGGTATTTAATTTAAGTTTCCTTTCCATTAGACAGAGTGAGTGAGAGAGAGTGAGAGAGAGAGAGATTGAAGGACATAGACGTACAAATAGTGTTGTTTAGTTGTTATGCCAATGGAGGAGGAGGCAATGCAAAGCAAGGAAAAGGCAGGCCGAAGAAACGGGTGCAATCCCGTTACGAAAGGTGGCCCTTTGTCTATGGATCATGTGCTTTTGGCCCTGGGAGAGACCAAGGAACAGAGGGAGCTCAGAATTCGTAATCTCTTTAACTTCTTTGACACCGCAAATATTGGTTATTTGGACTACACCCAGATTGAGGCTGCCCTCTCTACCCTCCAGATACCCTCCGAGTACAAGTATGCCAAGGATTTGTTGAATGTCTGCGATGCCAATCAAGATGGCCGTGTCGATTACCAAGAATTTAAGCGCTACATGGATGATAAAGAGCTCGAGCTCTATTGCATCTTTCAAGCCATAGATGTCGAACATAATGGTTGCATTCTCCCTGAAGAGCTCTGGGATGCACTTGTAAGGGCAGGTATTTCCATGCAATTGACTGACTCTGTTACTGCTACTACTACTACTACTACTGCTGTTGCTACTCTTCATTTTTACTCTATCTTCATTCCTTCAAGCTCTCATGACTAAGCCTTTCATCTACTTGTTTGAATGTTTGTGCTTCTTAAATTTAAAGACGTCCGTCTAGTCAAGCGTAAATAGCCTCTATCTTTCTCTGATTGTATAATTCAGTTTATCAGTGTTTTTTGTTTTCTAGGAACTTATCGTATCCCTTAAGACTTCAAATATAACTCTTGTCGCAAAAATTATTTTCCTTTGGTGAATTGTTTTCCTTCTATAAGGCACACCAGCCCCTCTTTTGCAGGAATTGAAATTGATGATGAGGAACTCGCACGTTTTGTTGAGCGTGTTGATAAGGATAATAATGGTGTTATAACATTTGAAGAATGGAGAGATTTTCTTCTGCTGTTCCCTCATGAGGCAACCATCGAGAATATTTATCATTATTTGGAAAGGGTATGCCTTGTTGATATTGGGGAGCAGACTGTAATCCCAGAGGTCATCAGTAAGCATGTCCATGCAAGCAGATATTTGATTGCTGGGGCAGTAGCAGGAGCAACATCACGTACAGCTACTGCTCCTCTTGATCGTTTAAAGGTTGTTTTGCAAGTACAAACAAAACAAGCTCGCATTATGCCAGCAATAAGGGATATATTTAGAGAAGGGGGATTATTGGGCTTTTTCCGTGGCAATGGTTTAAATGTCTTGAAAGTGGCTCCTGAAAGTGCCATCAGGTTCTACACTTATGAAATGCTGAAAAATTTTATTGTCCATGCTAATGGTGAAGAAGATCAGGCTAATATTGGTACTGCAACTCGCCTTGTTTCTGGTGGCTTAGCAGGTGCTGTGGCACAGACTGTTATTTATCCCATGGATCTTGTTAAAACACGAATCCAAACTTATGCTGGCGAAGGTGGAAGAATTCCAAGTCTTGGAACTCTGTCTAGAGAAATATGGGTTCAGGAGGGATCCCGGGCATTTTATAGGGGCCTTGTTCCATCTCTACTTGGGATTGTCCCTTATGCTGGCATTGATCTTGCTGCTTATGAAACCTTGAAAGATATGTCCAAGAAATATATTCTGCATGACGGTGGTAAGGAGTTCATTTGTAAATTAGCTTGCACCTCATCCTTTAATTATTGTCTTGCCCCAATTCTGTCATTCTGTTATATGCTGTATTATTAATTTTTTTAATTGTTTTTTTAGAACCTGGTCCTCTTGTGCAATTGGGATGTGGGACTGTATCAGGAGCTCTTGGTGCAACATGTGTGTACCCATTGCAGGTTGTCAGGACAAGGTGCATTTTGGAAATAACGATATCTTGATGCATTGATTTTTATGATACTTGTTTCAAGTTAGTGTCTTTAAATAGACACTAATTCTGCTACTTGTTTTCAGAATGCAAGCACACACTGCATATAAAGGAATGGGTGATGTATTCAGGAGAACCTTCCAACATGAAGGGCTAAGGGGATTCTACAAAGGAATATTTCCAAATCTCCTTAAAGTAGTCCCATCTGCAAGTATTACTTATATGGTTTATGAGTCCATGAAAAAGAGTTTGGATCTGGGATAAAAGCATTATGCAGCTCCAAATAATTGACTATAGAGTTGACACATTGACAATGGTATCGTGATAAAGATGTTGAATAAGGTTCCTAATTGAATAGATCAAATCATTTTTTTTGAGTCATAGCATGAATAATAGTGCCAGCATTAGATTTCTTAAACGGGCAAAATTGGCTTGTCCGTAAATTTGGGGTGTCCCAAAACTTATATTAAGCCTTATATGCATATGCAATGGGGCATTGTTGTATTGTAACACTGAAAGGTATAGTGTAACTTGAGCATATTGTAATACCTCTGGTATAAGTTATAACCATTTGCCCATTTTATGTAAATTTTTTGTAACTGATTAGGGTGGTTTTTTAAGACTGCTGTCACCCGCTGCTAGCTAGCTAAATGGTAGGTTTAAGAAGCCATTTGTGCCACTTCAGGGTTTCATCGATCAGGCTGGGAAACTGCCATCTCATTCTTGCTTGAGTTGAGTGGCAGCTGGATGCCTTGCCTTGGTTGACACCTCGTACTTGTTAGTGTTGTTTGTTAGACATCTGTGTATCTATATTTGGGCTTCAAATCAGCTCTCAGACCTTTCTTCTGTATAGTTGTGTGTTGTGTTCTAGTTTGAAATCTTTATCATTCCATCTCCTACCTGATATGAAAATACTGCTGCCTGATTCTTTATAGATATTCAGGACATGCGATTATGGTACGATTTTCTGTTTTTGGTTACAAGACAACCATTGTCGTTATTTTCGTGACACCACTGGAAAGGTTTGCAGCCCAATTTGAGTTCACAATTGGTACTCAAATATTTGGGCAGGGAAATTGGATTAGGCCTTAGCCTAGTTTTATGATATCAAAGCCACTATTAGTGGGGGGATTATGTTGGCCCACTTTTGCTAGGCAACAAATGGCATGCCCTTAGATTACAACTGATCAACTAGTTTAAGCGATTTTTATACAAAATTTATTTTAGGCTAATACGATAGGCATGGGTCATGCTGATTTTACGCTATTCTTTTATTTTTATTTTTATTTTTTATTTAAATTCCCTTTCACGTCTATATTTATGCAATGGTTTTGCCACTTGTGTCCTGCCTCTAAACAAATGTCCTTTGCCATGGGATTATGAAATTCCACGGAGTGCGTCCAAATACACTTGACTCAAGTACACGCCTTACCAATATTTATATCATACAAATACATAAAAGAATACAGGAATAAGAGAAATTATATAATACTATGATAGTATGGCTACGTAGTGATACATTTTGTATATGTGTTATAATATGGATGGACGATAAATATACTTATATTATAATATATTCACTTATATTATAACATATGTATAAAATATAGCACGTAACCGTATCACCGTATTATTTTATAATCAAAGTTTAAAAATGAGAAGAAACAAAGTACGTATCTATCTAGCATAATATCAGATGAGATATTATATGCTCACTCGCTACTAGCAAGCAAGTAGCAGCTGCTTCGGCATCTGGTTCCTTTGATACATAGGTACACTAGTCAGTCTGATAAATTAAGATAGGTCGTCTATTAATTTATAAATAAATAAACAATTGGGATTTGGCCCTATTAATAAATGCTGCATCAGCATGTTTTATCTAATCCGCGCGCCACAAGGGAAGTCGTGGATTATTCTTTTCTTTATGACTATGGGAAAGAAGAAAGGGTTGGGGAGTCGTAATGTTAACCTGACATTCGGATATCGACTAAAAAAATAATTTGACTGGAAGAAGTGGTTGACGATACATACATGCATTGATTCATTCATTCATGTGCATGGATCAAATCTTTTGCGTTTTTGCGTATAATTAAAGACTAGCTAGAGAAATAAAATCATTTGCTTTAGATCAGCGTTCTCGATTACTTAATTATGACATGCTACTGTTCGTCCTAAAATTAATACAGGTTAATTCTTACAGTTGAAACACTAGTCTTATGGCTAAATAACCAAAGGTCCAAACCGTTAAGGACTTATTCAGTATCTATGAAAGCCCAAATGGTAACCAGAAAGGCCCAAAAGCCTTTCGGACACAAGCCGATCTCAAACATTGACCAACGCGTGGTCAACAAGGGCTTCGGAGACAAGTAGCGCTTCGGACACAAGTGTCTGATGCTACAATTCAACATTTCGAACAGAAGTGTTCGAAGCTACAGTTCAATTCAGACATAAGACTTGTCCGACGCCATAGTCATGGTTTCAAACACAAGCGCTACAGTCCCTCTTCGGACATAAGAGACGTCTGATGCTACAATCCCATTTCAGACAGAAAATGTCTGAGGTTACAACTAAAGCCAAATTAAGTGAATTAATAACCAATCTAAATGGTTGTTAATTACAGTCCATTTAAACAAATAGCAATTTGAGCTTTGGGTCAAAAACAATTCAAACTGCTTCATTTCTGTAGGTGGCCGACATGGAATATTCAGTCTCAAACAGGTAAAGAATGGTAAAAAACTCAGAGCTGACCCAATGCGGCGTCACCTGCAGAGCAATCCCAAAGTTTGAGATTAAAGAGCACCTCCCCTGATCAACTTGAAAGGCATGCACAAATTATCTTGTGAATTCTCTATAGTTTGAAGTAGCAGTGGCCATCAAGTCATCCTTTTTCTAGACCTTGAAGCCTATAAATTGAGGAAGAAAGCTCAGTATTAAGGATCCAATACCGAATCAATCAAACCTATTTTGAACAGCCTTCAAAATATGCTTACTCTCGACAACCTGGAAAGTAACTCAGCCTCAAACTCTTGCAAAGCATCTCACAGCAAACCAAAGTCAAGTCTTGAATCGAATCCTCTCCATGTCTTTGAGTTCCCAGTTGACAACTCCCAATTGGAATTCTATTCTTTTCCCAAAAAACATACTCTGTCCAGTTTCCAGTTGACAACTCCTATTTGGAATTGCATTGCTATTGTTTGTAACCTATATGCTCTGCCCGCATCGCTTGGTATGATTTGATAGTTGGTCTCGATTTCCAACTCACTTAAATGAAAACTCCTATATGTGGTTAAGACAAGTTTTAATTGTAGGTATTTTGACAAACTCTCATCGGACATACCTTATGCATTGTCCCAAGTAGACTGCAGTTATGTCCGATGGAATTCGTCTCTGTCCGATGAGGCTCCTATAGTTTTGTTGGAACCAACTTTACTTTTATTTGTACTCACTATTAAGCATCTAATTGGATATATAATTACTTCCTGATATTATGTCATCCATCAGACACTTTCATGCAAGGCTTGTTATTGTACTCTTTGTCCGATGATAGTCTAAAATCATCATCCATCTTGCATTTTATTCCATAAAAGGTGAAATATTAAAGTCCTCTTCGTTGTGGCATAGAAAAGAACCTATCTAAAGCAAGATTCCCCTTTTTAGAGCACAATGACTTTGATTAGAAGATAAGAAAACAAGGGCACAACACTTTAATAGGCTTAATCTTCACCTCACTCCCTTTCTACTAGAAGAGTATCACTAGTAGTGGCATGCCTATCGCAAATCACCATAAAGCAGCTTCCGAGTCCACTCCAGGGCCTAGATCTCTCTCGCATCATTTCCTTCACCAACAAGCAACCGCTAGCTGCCAACGTATAGCCTGCTAGCGGCCAGGGGCATCGCAGTGTTCAAAACTTGACGAACATATATATATATGTTACTTTCCCAGAAAGGAAGCCTATATAGAGATCAATAGCAGAGAAGGCGCCTGACATTATTACTAAGTATTATTTTATGTATAAACACTACCGAAAAAAAATACACTTTCCCGACCAATGTAATATTTGTCGGGATAGAAATTTAACGACGAATGTTGTCAGAATATCCCGACTAATTTTTTTCTTTCCAGACAAAAGACATTTTGTTGTAGTGAAAGAAGATGAATCAGAATCGATGCCAAATTAAAGCAGCTGCACACAAGCCAGCGGAAAAGAATCAATGCCTTCGATTTGGTTGGAAGCTATTCAGTTTTGCCAGCAACATCACTGAAAATTCCAATGCTGTATTCGTGATGATACTCTTATTTGAAATTTAGGAAAGGGGGTATATAACAGAGAAAGAACAGCGGCATTTTCTAGTTTCTACCCGCCAGCATCCCATATGCATATATAAGATAGGCATGCTTACTAGTTACTATTTATATCTAACTAGCACGAGTTATTGTGTGTATTACATATGTACATATATGATGAATACAATCATCAATATATAATTATAATTATGACGCCATTTGTTTAATTTCTTTAGTATTTTTCTGCTACTCATCCTTGTTTGTAATATCTTATTGAAATCAGGATTCAGACCCATCTTTTCTTTGAGCCGGTGAACTTGCAGATTTGGTACTTGTAAAAGATGCATATATAAATGAATGTTGAATGTTGAGAGTGAGCTGCAGGCTCCCACATGGACATGTGGGGATCAGATCATGTCATTGTCACATTTAAATTTAATGAGGAATGGGCTTATTCTTTTTACTTTTTTGGGGCTGAAAATATTCTTCAATAATTCCCATTTAATTTTAAAGTAATACCAAAAAAATAAAAAATTGTGTGTTGGTGTTAAAAAATTAGTGTAATAAATTGATGTTATAAGTTGTTAAGTAGCTAAAGCTAAAGGCTTAAAGCTAATAAGGAAAACAAACGATACTTTTGACTATTGACTGGCTACAATACGAGGGAAGCTTCGTCTATCATTTCACTTAAGCTTTAGCCTTTAAGATAAGTTTTGTATGATCACTTTCCTTCTTTCAAGCCAAATTTAAAACATATTATTTACTATTACCTAACAACTTTTTAATAGAATATAGTAAATGTCACATTAGAAAGTTAGAAGTTAGATCATGCATGCATGCTTTTAGCTAGCCTTTGAAGTTCCCCTTTTCCAAAATTCCACATTAAAGCCAAAACAGAAGATGCTTCATGCTCAGCTTCCCCATCATACAAAGTCATGCTCGTGAAGGAAAATAAATATATGTCTAGAATTGAGTTTATTTATAAATTTGCAAAATAAATAATCAAGTAGAAAATAGCAACTTAAATTCGGTGCCTTGTGTTTTATGCTGCATCTGCATGACAGGCAGGCACAGATACTATTATACTATTACTTAGGAATTTGGCTCACATTACATGCATGAATGAATTCTAAAACCGGGTTTTGAGGGGTAAGCACGTTTGTTGTAATTAAAGAGGGAGAAGATGTTACTCATCATGATATATCAGTTTACTGTAAGTTAATTGTCATACCAAAGAAATCTGTATCTGCTCAACAAATGAAAAGTAATTAAGAGAAAAACTTGTATACCACGTACGGGAACGGGATAGTCCTGTTATATCCTCGCGACTTCTTCTTGAGTACAAATAATTCACAACACAATCGAGAGTTTCTGCGAAGCCATCCAAACAAAACATATTGAGATTGAGAGACAGAAGAGAAAACCCTTCCCTTCCCTGCCCTGCCCCGGCAAGATGGATATATTTACCGATTTAATTACCAGTTATTAGTTATAGCGTATAAAATAGGTGGCAGTTGGCGGACACATGACAATCGCCATACTAATTTAATTATTTGTTTAACAATAAAGTAATAAAAATAAGGGTTTGAAGTTGGGACGTTATGAAAGGAACTTGGCACGGTTTTATTATAAATGGATGCCGTTGCTCTGGTCCAGCGAAAACCTCTCTGGCCCTCAGCTCTCTCTGTTTTCTTTTTCTTGGAAATTAGACATTATTTCTATCTGTATTCTTCTTCTACCAACATTTAAAAGAATGCTGCTATTCTTTTTGTTAAAGATAGATACATAAATTTAACAGGGTTCAGTTGGCAACTGGCCTAGCCTCGCCTCGCCTCTGTGAGTGGGAGAAAAAAGAGCTAGGATATATAGATAACAGATAGGATAGGACCCTAGAACAATATTGTTCTGCGTTAAAAGCTAGCTTATCTGAAGAAGCTCTTGTCTTGTGGAAGTTGGAAACCCTTGGCATACAACATATATACCTATATATATGTGTGTGTGTATTAGGTCTCGGGGTTATTTAGAGCGCTAGGAAGTTGCTTGTTCTTGATCGAGTTTTGTTGTCATGTAATGAAAGCCAATAATACTGCTGCTTCTGTTTCCTCAGAATCCATACAAAACTAGGGTTCGTTTTAAAGGATTGTTTGTGTATAGAAGAATATCAATATCATGTCATCTGTGATAGCACGAACAGGGCGGCATCGGCAACGCTATGAGAACAATTTTCGCCTTGTTTCTGGGTATGCCCTTCTTTTTCATGCTAACTTTTATCCTTTTTTTTTTTTTCTTTCTTTTTTCTGGGGCACTTTAGTTTGGCTTATTGTTTATCTCTACTGTTGGCATGCTTTTTCATCGTTCCTTGTTTAATAAGTTGCAGCATTAGTCCAATTTTCCATTTGTTTCTTTGTCTCGAGTGCCTTCAAATTTAAAATCTCTTGTCAGGCTCCTCTTAATTTCTTAATGATAATATAAAAGGTATCTTTT